TTCTGGGGAAAGAGACAGGGACCCAGAGAGAGGGCCCATGGTTAGGGAGACCGAGGCTGCAGGAGTCAAGTGGATGGACGTCCTTCTGATTTCTTAGTTCTGAGTTCTAGACCCTCTTGGGGTTGGGGGGGAGGCGCTCACCTGATTAGGTCAGGCCCACCGAGGGCAAACCCTCGTCTCACTAGCTAGAGGTCACCTGCTTGGACACCTTCGTGGCACACGGTGATATATCGCATTTTACTCAGATTTCCCTTGCACAGAGAACGGGAGGGGAGCCCATGAGCGATGCGTGTGCCACCTCTAGGTGCCGGCTGGTGACCAGGGAACCCACGCATGTCACCTGTTAATTTGCTTTGCAAACGCCGTCAACACAGCTGAGCGCACACGCAGCCTCTAAATTTAGCAGCTCCTCAGGGGCATGTCAAGGCAGCATGACACAAACACTGGGGACATTTGGAAGTCAGGGCGTGACGCCTTTGAACAGGTGGCCAAGGTAGGGTGACGTCATTGGGAATCCTGTGACAGATCTGGGGCAGGGTCACCCCCCGCGGCTTGCCAAGAATCGGGCAGATGGTCAGAGCTTCCCAGCCTACGGTGGTTCCGTCACCACCAAAGAAGTCCTTGACATTAGACGTACTGATCGGAACGGGTGAGTGACATGCGTGAGGGATTGGTCCCATCCGCTAATCCCATTATTGAGTCACCGAATTATGGCGGGGACTTTCCGTGTGCGACCTCAGTGTCTCAGATACCACCAGCCGCCCGTGTTCTGGGGCTTTCTTAAGAGTAGCCGTGCGGGTTAGGTTGACGGGAGTTCGCGTGTCATTTATCTTGTGTGTCACTAACAGTGACAGGATTTTCTCATGCACTTTTATCACAGGGAACTCACGCACACCATGTTCATTGGATATATCAGGAACCATCACCTCGTGCATTTTACTCTGCTGCAGAAACGGATCCCGGGGAACTCGCTGCACACACCCGGTTAGAACGTGGCCTATCACGAACGATCGTGTCACAGTATTTTGTTGCACTATAGACTTCCTCCCACGACGGGCCATGCACCCAGGTATCATGGGATCCTGTTACCCATGGGGTCATTCTCCTGGACTGTACCTAGAGCACGTCATCAGCTGAGAAGTGCACGAGGACATTCCAGACCGTGGCACTGCCTGGCGGGGGACTTAGGCAGACTCTGTCGCAATGCACGAGCACGTCGCCTTAGCTGTGCAGTTTTACTATGTCCCCGAGGACAATGACCTGGGATTCACACGTCCTAGGTTAGTCTGTCACCCCATGAAAACACCGTAGTATTGATCCCCCTGTAGGGGAGAACCGCATGGCATTCGTACATCCCATTATTGAGTCACAGAATTAGGGTCGTGTTGGCCTGTCACCCATCAGTGACAATGACACAGGCCCATGACCTGGATTGCATGCACAATCCTGCTACTTTGTTTCCCTGTGGGATTTACAGATACATCCCGGACGGTTTCACACCAAGGATCCATTGCACGGGGGCGGCACAGCTGCGTCGGGACCCCTGCGCCAGCCCTCCACTCTG